TGACACCTGTGCACTGCTGGATGACATTTTCTGCAGCTGCTTGCAGCTGCTCACGGCCAGACACCACGTGACACATCGCTGCCACATGATTCATTGCCGCTCATGACAACAGGCCGCGTTGTTGTGAGAGTGAACGGCGGCACTGGCACAATGAGCCACATGACCTCTTTCTGTGAGCAGTGGCACCAGCACAACATGCCACGTAGCCTCCTGCCACGAGCAACGGTACCAGCGCAATGGCGTATGGCCAGGAGCAGCTGCAAGCGGCCACAGAACAAGTCGGGCAGCGGCGCAACAGATGTTGGGGCATGGGAGGCCTGTGCAGTCCTAAGGTAAGCGGATGCTGGGCACGTGGGGCAGCTCCACCCCTTCACCCCCACCATAGCTTGATTTTTACATATGAGTCTCGCCCCACTTTGTATAACCAGATGGTGGGACGAAGTGGACAGGGTCTTAAGTAGGGCTTATTTTGGGGGCAAGGTTTATATTAGACGCACATGTAAAAATCAAGCTACAGCTTGTTTTCCGGATAGGTCATATTTTTGGGGAAACATGGTAATAATAACAATAACAATAGCTGTAAGCAGTATATAAGCAATAAAATATATTTTATTTTTTATTTATATTACGAGGAGCCATTTCTCCCCGATGGGACAAGCCTGGCACCAGCAGAAGAGGCCTACTATAGATCCTGTCTGCTAAGGAATTGAAGCACAATAACAATAAAAGAGTTGGAAGTGACCTTAGCTTAGTCCAACCTCCTGCTCAAGCAGGAAACTCTACGTACCATTTCAGACAAATGGCTGTCTAATCTCTTCTTTAAAACCTCTAGCGTTGGAGCCTTCACAACCTCTGGAGGCAAGCTGTTCCACTGATTAATTGTTTTAACTGTCGGGAAATTTCTCCTTAGTTCTAGGTCAAGGGGAGGAGCTTTTTCTGCTGTGGCTGCATCTCTACGGAACATTCTTCCACTGGAGGAGTGAATTGCCTTCTGCCTTTTGGCCTTCCAGAAGGGTATTAAAAGCTGGCTTTGCCAGTTGGCCTGGGACCCCGAGGGATGGGGTAAGGAGAGCTGATCCCTGTCCTGTCCCTTAGCAGCAATTTTAGTACAGTTTTTAATAATATTTTCATGTGTGCAGCTTTAATGTTTTAATATGTTAATTGTATGTTATCTGTTTTATAGATAAAGATATAGATAAGATCTCCTTCTAGAAGAGATGGGAGGCATAACCATTTAAATAAATAAAACAAATAATCAAGCATTCAAAGGCCGTGTGGTGTTTTATTACTTGCAAAGAATTGGAATCATGCCAGCCGTGGCATTCCCTTCAACTGTGGAAGTGAAAGTTGGACTGTAAAGGCCTTCGATTTAATCTAAAATCTTTCTTACATTTCTCCAAATTCTTTGCCGATTGGAGAGGGAGTTAACAGTATGTAGCTGTGGATGTACATTCATTCCTATGGTATTCCAAATTGTTAGTTCCCTTGAAAGAATTTTGTACAGAAAACTTAAGGTAAAACAGTTGAACCTGGATGAATAAATGGTTAACTCAAAAAAAAAAAAAAACAACCATGTAGGCCAGCCAAAGAATAAAATGGAATCCACAGAACTTTCTTCCTCCACAGTTCTGGTTTCACTTTCAAAATCCAACTTGGAAACATGAAAAAAATGAAGTAGTAACTCTTATTTCTTCAGCCAAATTGTGAAGTAAGAAAGGAACAGGGGAAAATCCTCTGGTGAAGTAATTAAAGTAGAAAATCAGGGATTTTCCACACTGGCAAATCCAAACTGAGCAAAATATATAACTTCTGCGCCCAAATTTTATCTCTTACAGAGTTTCTCATCAGACAAATATTGCAAGAACTGATGGTCCCATGATATATGTGATGGTTACCCTGTCCCTGTTCGGGGGGGGGGGGTGGACATTTGGCCAGCACTCAAGTTTTAAGATGAAAGGAAATAACTTATATTTTGGTTATGTAAGATAGAATGGATAGGTCTAAGGCAGCGTTTCTGACTCTTGGCAATTTCAAGATTATTTGGACTTCAACTGCCAGAATTTCCCCAGTATGGATACCCTGCTTGGATAGATGAGTTATAAACGTGACCCAGTTCATATGGTAGAGAAGTTACGTTTTAAACATCAATGGTTAATGAGCAGAAGAAGGTGGGATGCTATATTGCCATAGGATGATTTCAATCAGATGGAAACCTTTCAGATAGATTCTCAGCAACTCCAAGCAGCATTGGCCTTTGCAAATGAGATTGCATACTAATCTCACTTAGATGATTTGACTAATACAGCCTTAAAGTAGAATTAACACATCCGGCCGTATTTCCTGCCTCATCTGCTTTGCAAGACTGACAATCTTGCAAGTCTGAAAGGACAATTTTCTTTACAGCCTGAAAAAAAAAAACTAGGGAAGAAGATTTCTGAATCTCTTCTTCCACCCATTGTTCAGCTGTGGGCTATGCCCTCTTTTATCTCACCATTCCCCAGGCAGCACCACTCCCCTCTCTCTCCCAACATCTTTCCCACGTGCCATGACATGTAGTCCAAGCTAACACATAGTATTCCCAGAGGCATATTTGGGGAGAGGGGAGTTTGGTTCTCTCATCGGGTCACATGGGGAACACAGAAAGAGTTTTCGTATTTTTGCTCTTCATCAAGTTAATCATTCACCAGGAAGCTACTGAGAGACTGGAAATTGTCAATTTTTTATAAACATCCATTCAGGCTATTCGGACCATGCTTTGCTAATATCATTTATTTATTTTATTTTCCAAAGCACCAGATTTGTTATATTTGTTTTCCAAAGCACCAGAGGGCAGGACAAGAAACAATGGATGGAATAGAATAGAGTAACAGAGTTGGAAAGGGACCTTTGAGGTCTTCTAGTAATCCAACCCCCTGCCTAGGCAGGAAACCCTACACTACTTCAGACAAATAAATGTTTATCCAATCTCTTCTTAAAAACTTCCAGTGTTGGAGCATTCACAACTTCTGGAGGTAAGTTGTTCCACCGATTAATTTTTCTCATTGTCAGGAAATGTCTCCTTAGTTTTGGGTTGCTTCCCTCCTTGATTAGTTTCCACCCATTGCTTCTTGTCCTGCCTTCAGGTGCTTTGGAGAATAGCTTGATTCCCTCTTCTTTCTGCAGCCCCTGAGATATTGGAGCACTGCTATCATGTCTCCCCTAGTCCTTCTTTTCATGGAAACTAATCAAGGACAGAAGGAACCTGGAATTGAGGAGAAATCTTCTAACAGTGAGGACAAGTAGCCAGTGTGGAACAGCTTTGCCTTCAGAAATTGTGGGTGCTCCATCATTGGAGGTTTTTAAGAAGAGACTGGACAGCCACTGGTCTGAAATAGCATTGGGTCTTCTGCTTGAGCAAGGGGCTGGACTAGGAGATCTCCAAGGTCCCATCCAGCTTTATTCTGATTTTTAAGGGCCCATAAATGTATGATTAGAGGGTGAGCTATGCTGAAAAGCATAGCAATGGCAAAAGTACAGCAATTTCCACCTCTTTTGGCGGAAATATCCTTGTCAAATTCCAGAGTGTTAGATTAAAGGAGAGTTGTGCAAAGGGAAAAATTACTACGGTAGCAATGGCCCTTCTTAATGTGTGATAACAGCTAACGTCCAGGTACGGAGTTGTATAACAGACATGTCCATTGAATTAATAAATGTTCTTATTAAGGGGGTACAAGCTACCCGGTGCACCTGAGAATATTTATATATTACTCAAATGTACAGTATATAGTCAATACATGTTCAGAATGGGAAAGTGAGTGACGATAAAGTGTATTTATATATTTGGATCTGGGAGGCTCCTAAATCACTCCGGAAGGCTTACCTAATTTCAGTAGAAATGCTTTTACTATCCCTCCAAGGCACAACCATGGTCCAAACCCCCCCCCCCCAAAAAAAAAACCACAAGGTACTTTCCACGGTGTTATGATCAAGGTTTCACCCATTTTTAAGGGTGATACATGTTTAAAAACTGGCAGATCTTTGATTACATCATAATGGTTGCCATCTCAACTTTCTGGATCATATTCTGCAGACACCTCTGCATCTATTTCAGGGGTTCTAATATTTGGAGCGGGGGTGGTCATAAGCACATTTAGAAGATTGAAAATAAGTTTTAGGTGTTTCCACCAATTTAGAAGAGGATGTACAAAGCACCAACTTATCTGAATTTGTTCGATTCCTTGCATGACCTCTGCTTCTTAAATGGTCATGACTCTGGTTACATTTGTCTTTTTTTGAGGGGGGGGTGGAGAGAGGGATGTCCAAATAAAATAGCTGCATCTGTGAAGCATTTTTATTTTCTAACAAAGTTTATTAGAACCCTTTGAAGGCTATGGAAGTGATTATGGAAAACGGTGTCCCAAAGATGCTTTATTTTCAAGAGGCAACTGGACTTTTCTGGTTTTTCTTTGAAGACGTTTCGCTTCTCATCCAAGAAGCTTCTTCAGCTCAGAAGCTTCTTGGATGAGAGCGAAACGTCTTCAAAGAAAAAAACCAGAAAGTCCAGTTGCCTCTTTAAAAAAAAGCACCTTTGGGACAACCATGTCCTGGATGACTGAGAATCTCCACAGACATGTGAAATGGTGCTTTACCACTTGTTGACACCCATTTTTAAAATATAAAAAAAGAAAAGAAAGAAAATCAGGAAAACCAAAAACTCGTAGGCACCTACAGGTACCTTTTTTGAAATTCCTTTCCTATCGTATCCCTGCCACCTGTTGACTTAGCCAGGAAAAGAAAGAGTTAATTTATTTATCACACTAATAAAATAACCTGCTTTTCCAGTCTTACGAACAAACCCAGCCAAAAAATGGGCGGGGTGTTGCCTGCCATCTGAAAGTGCCAACCTCAGATTCCAAAACGTTTCACTGGCTTTTTCGGTTAGCAGTTTCCTCTTTGCTTTTTTCCTCTTGCTCATGAGTTGCTAGATGTGGGCGGGGATAGTACAGGACTTTGCTTTCAGAAGGGTTTAAAAGGAAGCTGCGACAAGAGTGCCCAAACAGTGAAGCCTCTTCTGAATAAAGAACAGAAGGAAAAAAGGGGCTAAAAGCAAAAAAGCCAAGAAGCAACAACATCCCTCAAGTGAATTCCAGGGAGGCTACAAGTCAACCAAAACAGCTAAAAGAACTCCTTTTTCATCCGCAAGAATCAATTACCATTAGCTTCTTTCTTTGACTGGTGGCAGAATTTTCGAAGCAGTCTAAATTTATGCAGCAGCACCCGTGAAAGAGAGAAAGAAAGAAAGAAAGAAACCAGGGAACTTCTATCTGCTGAAAGAGAATCAACTTTTCACCACATCCACCGAAAGAATTGCGTTGCCTTTTTCAGAAGCCCATCCATCCATCATGAGCTCTGAGCAATTGGTGCACGATGTGGAGAAAGGGAACATAGTTGTCATCCGGGAACCCTCTCCGAAAAACAACCACTGGAAGTGCCTCAGCATCTGTTCCTTCTTGCTTCTGATTGGAGCTGTAACCGTCTTTGCCCTCTTGCAGCTGGACGCATTTGGGTCATCCGAAAAACAGGTTAGTAACACGAGTTGGGTGAAGAGCGAGGGGCTATTATTTAGAAAGGTTTTGATGGGCGCTTGCCATGAAATGAGATGGGGTGAACTTGGCAAGCAGTTGATCCTCTGATTTGGAAGGATGAAAAGTTGGGTTAAAAAAATCTTCTGAACGAAGGAAGGAAAAAGCAAGCAGCTCCATGGGGGGAAGGATGAAAATTATGAGAAAGATGAAGATAAGGCTATATTTTACACTAAACTAGCTTTCCCCCCCACCCCCAAAAGTCTAACACTTATTTGAGATTCTTAAGAAGAAATAATGGGAAGCTGATGCCAACATTTAAGTCAACATTGTTGACTTAAAATATTGTCAATAAAAGGAGTTTCAGAGATGAGATAGATAGACATTGCTCACCCAAAATACTTATTTTACACAACAATTTATTGCTGAATCAGCCACCTGTTGAAAGCATCTACAATTTATCTGTACAATAAGTGTTCAGCAGTCCTTCTAGAGGCCAAATGGATCATCAGTACCCATGGGCCCTTTAATAAAGAATGCCTATCTCTAGTTTTCTATGTGTTTGCAGGGTTTTTTCTTCTGTTAATCTTACGTTTCAAATGTGCTTATTTAACTGACATTCATAACTGCCATTTTTTAAAAAACAATGAATATGATAATTGCATTAATAATAGTAGTGGCATTACTACATCATCCTTATTAATTTCTTTTCTTCATTTCTTTTCCAGGACTCTAAACTACGGGGAAATTCATTTTCTGGTAAGTTTTTCTAAGCTGTCTTATTTCCTTGGGAAAGTTTTTCCAGTGCTGTAGCAAACTGTGTATCGTTTTCCAACCTGATGCTCCATTGATCTATTACTGTCTTATATCCCTTCATTCCTACTCCGATTGGATATTTACTATATTGATTGGCCAGAATTGAGACATAGTCCTACAACCAGCATAGATCTATTGCTAAAAACTCAAATGCTTAATACTTAAATATATGGATTTAGTATCTTGAGTGAAGATGATCAGAAGGCAGGAACGCCCCACTGGATTAATTGGAATCATACTTGCTTGTCAGGGGCAGTTTGAATATATCAATACTTTAGCCAGCTATAGAATACACAGCATCTCGCTTTGATGAAAGTGATTGATTTTTGATGCCTTATCTGACGCTGTCTTTTTCTTCCATTTTTAATAGATCATTTGCCTGGCACAATGAAAGTGCAAGCCTTGAGGTCTGGTAAACCAGCTGCCCATGCTGTTGGTGAGGAGACATTTTAAATTGCTTGAAAGGGGTGGTGGCTGGAGATAGACCTCAGATGGGCCTCTGATTCAGATGGACTTCCCATGCCGCTTTTCTGGTTTGGTGAAAATAAAATGCTTGGGAGGAAGAAGTTCTGCAAAGAGGTAGCCTTTTGAGATATGGGGCCATTTCAGTACCTATGAGCTCCTGGCACACTTGCAGTTGACTGTGCTCAACAAGAAACCTGTTGGATGAAACCCAGACCTTAAGATGAAAGAAAGGGGAGGTTTGTACACTGATGGTTTGGACTTGCCTTAATTTGGCTATGATTCTCTCTAATCATCTTAGGCTTCTTATTTATTATGTTAAGTGCTGAAGATGAGAGTGGATGGTCAGTAGAAAGTCGTCCAATGAGTTTCTGTAGGCAACTGGGTCTTCCATAGTGTAGAACATTTAGCACAGGAAGCTTTTACTTCAGAAAACCTTGCAAATCCCTGATGAGGTTGTGCAATGCAGCCTTTCTCCTGTAGGAGTAGTGATCAACTGTGGTGGGGTCAACCTTATGCATCCAATTGGCTCAAGTCAAGTTGTCTGACAGCTTCCCAAAGCAGGACCTGGTTTTGTGCCCTTAAGCCCACCAAGGCACCTCAGGTCCAGTGAATTTCATAGCAGGTTTCCCCAATTTGGTATCCTCCAGATGTTTCATCCTACAACCCCCACAAACACTAGGTCAGCACTCCAGAGGGTTAATGTCATTGCCCAGAAGATCATTGGTTGCCCTCTCCCCTCTTTGGAAGAGCTTTATAGCTCCCACTGCCTTAAGAAAGTTCAAAACATCCTCAAAGATCCATCTCATCCTGGGCACCCTTTTTTTTTTTTTTTGAACTATTATCACCTGGCAGATGATACAGGATAATAAAAACAAGGACAAATAGGCCGAAAAACAGCTTCTATCCCAGGGCAGTTAACTATTGAATTCTACTGTATAGTGCAATATTAATGCAATATCAGGGGTTTTCAATTCAATGTATAGAATGTGAAGGATGTGTGTTTGTGTTTATTTTTATGGTCATAAATTGTACACTGAAGATGGTATTTAATTTCGTTGTACGAGGTGCAGTGACAATGAAGTAAACTAAAGTAAACTCATGGGCCTCTTAGAAGCCACAAGATTGTAAAAGCTGCAGCTGAGCCTATCTGAGGGGAATTGTGCCTCAGAAACAGGTTCAGTTAGTTCTCAACTTAGGACCACAACTGAGACCAAGATTTCTGTTGCTATAAGTGAGTCAGTCGTTGAATGAGTTTTGCTCCGATTTTACCATCTTTCTTGCCAGAGTTATTAAGTCAATCCCTGCCGTTCTTAAGTTAGTAACACGGTTGTAAAGCCAATCTGGCTTCCCCGTTGATTTTACTGGTCAGAAGGTCACAAAAAGGAATCCCATGATCCCAGGACACTGTAAGCATCATTAAATATGCCAAGCAACTGAATTTGGATCACAGGTTCCCTGGGGATGCTGCAGTTGTCGTAAGTGTGGAAAAAAAAGCTCATTAGTAACTTTCTTCAGTGCCGTTGTAACTTCGAAGGGTCACTAAACAAAGTTGAGGACGACTACTTGTACAGTACAAGAAATTCCTTCTTCTTTAAGTTGACCAGATCTTCTTCTTAACACTTGATTTCTTTTTATTTCACAGCTTCTTCCCGTGATTCATCACAACTGAAGTGGACTGTAGATGTGATTCCTTCCCTCTTGGAAAATGGCATGCGGCTTGATGAGAACGAAAACTCCCTCGTTGTGCCTTCTACTGGATTGTACTTCGTCTACTCTCAGCTCTTGTTCCACAAGGACAACTGCAAGAAGCCTCTTCTGCTCACCCACAACATCACCTGCTGGTCCTCAGACTTCGGCTCGGAGATAGAATTGCTAAAGTCCATCAAATCTGTCTGTGAAGAGGTCTCCAGCAATAAAAAACTGTGGTTTGAATCGATTTATCAAGGAGCCGTCTTCCAGCTGAACAAAGGGGACCGCTTGATGTCCAAAACAAACTTCCCTGAATATCTGGACTACACTCATTCAACGCAGATTTATTTTGGGGTCATTGCTATGTAAGAAAAGTCTTTGTGATGCCTAATTGCAACTTCGTGTCGTCATTCATGTACTTCATGTATCTGCATTGGGTTGTTTTTTTCCCCATCTTACAAAGTCCACAAAACCTATTATATAGGCAGTCAGTATTAGCATCCTTTGTGTGAGTCTTTTTTAAACTGTCTAAACTTTTTTATTTATTTATTAATATTTATTTATTGAGCTTCTTATATAATCTTGAAACTTCAAGGATTCCACCCCGTCCCCGATGTAGGAGATCCTTCCAAAAGGATACCTCACTTTTGCAGGCAATGAATGCAAACACGTGTAACAATTGAGTTGTGATTCCCCATTACGTGGGTTCGTTTTGATGAACCTGTATTTGGGGCACTGTAAAATGCTTGTGTGGCTATTTTCAAACAGGATTTCCCTTCCTTTGTCCCCCAGTCTAGATTAAGATTTGAATTTTTACATATCTGTATATATATATATATATATTTATACTATGTATATTTGATATCATTTGACTGTTGTGTTGATTTAATCATGTATATTACATGAGTTATCCTGAAGTTTGGGGAGAGGATAATACTAGGCTATGAATCCTGGTTTTTTTTCCCCCCCAGCTAACAGTACATTCCTATCCAAGTTTATTTGGAAATACATTCTAACATTCTCTCTTGGATTGTACTGCTTCAGTCTGATGTCGGAAAGTCTGACATTTTTGGTATTTCATTGGCACTGTGTAGGTTTTTGGCAGAAATTGCCTTATGGTACTGTACAGGTTGTCATGAAAAAATTTTTTTAAGCATAAGTATTACAAATATATATTTATTAGAACATGGCTTATTTATTTATTTATGTATTTATTTATTTGTCTATTTATTGTGACGAAAACTTGTATTGCTAAGATAAAATATACTTTTGGTTTCACTCTGTATTTAAAGTTCCCTTTGAATCGGGCCAAACAATAAAATGAAATTTTGTGACGGACTGCATCTGTTCAATGCGTTGTTCTGTTCAGCTTGATTTTAGTCCTGAGTGATAATAACTTCAATCTGATGTCCAGGAATACATCTTTAGCATCCCAGAAACAGTTCAAAGAAATATCGTAAGGATAAGGCTCAATCAAGCGTAAGCACTTCTTGAATATAACAGTATTGTCGATGGACTCAATTTAGCCTCGCAACAATAATAGCTGGTTTCCATTGGCCCTATTGGGTATCCTGCCCCTGTCTTGCTTGCCCCTTCCCATTCCTCAAATGATACTTATACATGCTAAGCAAGCCCAACTTCTCTTTCCGAAATAAAGGTAAAAGTTTCCTCCGTCCACTCATGTCCAATTCCGGAAGTGGATGGTCATTTCCATTTCTTAGCTGAGGGAGCCAGCATTGTCTGAGAACGCTTCCGTGGTCGTTTGACCAGCATGACCGTATGCTGAAACATATGGAACGCTGTTATATTTCCAGTGAAGTGGTACCTATTTATCTACTCGCATTTGCATGGTTTTGAGTTGCTGGGTGGGCAGAAGCTGGGGCAAGGAACGGGAGTTTACCCCATCGCATGGAGCTCGGGTCTTAAACCTGGGCTGACAGCTGCTAAGATAGGTGTTTTTAACGTTGAGCCATTGTGCTTGTTCTGACCCAAACCTGGTTCCAAGAGAGCAAACATAAGACAAAGGTAGCAGCATAACCTTTCAATGTTTCATTTACGAATCCTGTTTCTTCACAGATAAAAGGCTGCTTCCAACTAATTAGCTCCGATAAGGAAGAGCCTTGTTAAGTTTTTGCAAGGCTGCCAAGAACAACAGATAAAGTTCCTAAGCAATAAATCAAAGAGTCTCCAAACACCAGCTCAGATATTCCTAATATCCACCAGGCTCAAGTATCAAACTTCTTTGCCTTCTGCAGAGAACTGTGGTTTCTCAGCTGGCTTTTATCTCTAAAGGGAGGGGCCATTACCTTGCAGCCTTACTCCCAAGTCACCTGTGCTGCTGTAGCTACTTTTTCCTTCGAGCAGCCCTGCGTGCACATGCGCTGGGCACAGGCTCCTCAGGGGCCTCTTCATCACTGCTGTCAGCCTCCACAATCTCTGAAGGCAGCATTCCCCTCCCTGATGGTCCTGGCCCCATCCCTGCATCACACGCAGGCCCCTCATCTGAGTCCTCGCTCTCCGAGACCTCAGCCGTCCACACCTGCTGCCGTCGATCCACAACAAGGCTTCCAAAACGTTACCAATCTATTCCATTACAGTGCACCCCAAGATAACTCACCAAATAAATAAACATGGCTGCAAATAATATACCAGTGACCAGACTAACCCTTGTTGCAAGACAACTCCTTTTCCCCTCCAAAATTCCAAAGATGACTAGCATAGCTATCCCAAAGATGCTTTTTCAGGAAGCAACTGGACTATTTTGGTGTTTTTCTTTGCTGGATTTATATTCCGTTCCCCACCATCCTGCCACAGCTGAAGAAGCTTCTTGGATGAGAAGCAAAACATCTTCAAACAAAAACAACAAGAAGAAAGTCCAGTTGCCTCCTGAAAAAAGCATCTTTGGGACAACCATGACCTGGATGATGGAGAATCTCTACATACTAACATAGTATAGCTACTCTTCAATAACAATGCAGCGACCTGTAAGACCTTTGAGGCTGCAGAGAGGCCTCCTGTCAACTCTAATTTTCAAAAGACTCCCAGATGGGCCCTCAGTGGACTCAAAACCACAACTTCAAGACATGACTCAAAGAAGCCAGGATATGATGAAATATCACCTAGCCAACTCTCTTATCTGCAAAAGGCTGGTTGATTCAGTTCGGAGACCTACTTAATTTTTCAGAGCAGTTCTTTTCTATATCTTTCTTGGGCGGGGCATCTTTACAGGAAAACTCAAGCATTTACAGCAACTTGCTTTCTGCTTACATGACTTTGAGTCTCTAAGACGGCATTTCTCAACCTTAACAACTTGAAGATGTATGTATACACTTCAATTCCCAGAATTTTCCAACTAGTATTGCTGGCGGGAAAATTCTGGAAGTTGAAGTCCACAGAAGTTGAAGTCTACAGATGTTGACAGTTCTGGATGTCCGGGTCCATAGCTGTCAAAGTAAGTCGAAGTCCACAGCTATCAAATTTTGAAAGCTGAAGTCCACAACTGTCAAATGGCTCTACAGGTAAATTAGTACTTCCACCACTCAGAAAGAAGGTGTGAAGGAAAAGTAGAACAGCATTCGCAGGGGAAACTGGACAGGATGATCATAGACTGGCCTAAAGGCTAGCAAAAGGCCTCCTTGGGTCCTTAAAAGATGTTTGATTTCTCCATCCCTTGAATGGGTCTTTCCTTCCTCATTCCAAGGGTTGCAATGCAGAATCTAATGGGACTCACAGAGGGAAATCAATTAATGAATCCATCCCTATCTATCTATCGATCAATCGAACGAACGATCGATTGACCGACCGACCAACCTACCTACCTATCTATCTATCTTCATCTCTATCTACCTTTATATATCTATCTTCATCATTATCTACCCACCTACCTACCTATCTTTATCTATCTATCTATCTATCTATCTATCTATCTATCTATCTATCTATCTATCTATCTATCTATCTATCTATCTACCTACTTATCTAATCTATCTTCATCTCTATCTACCTATCTTTATATATCTATCTTCATCATTATCTACCCACCTACCTACCTACCTATCTTTATCTATCTATCTATCTATCTATCTATCTATCTATCTATCTATCTATCTATCTATCTATCTATCTATCTTCATCATTATCTACCTACCTACCTACTTACCTACCTACCTACCTATCTTTATCTGTCTCTGTCTCTGTCTCTCTGTCTCTTTGTCTCTCTGTCTCTCTCTCCATCATTATCTATCTACCTACCTACCTACTTACCTACCTATCTTTATCTATCTACCTACTTACCTACATCTATCTATCATCTATCTATCTATCTATCTATCTATCTATCTATCTATCTATCTATCTATCTATCTATCTATCATCTATCATATATCTATCTATCATCTATCTATCATCTATCTATCATCTATCTATCATCTATCTACCTACCTATCTCTCTCTCTCTCTCTCTCTATCATCTCTCTCTCTCTCTCTCTCTCACTCTCTCTCTCTCTCTCTCATCTATCTATCTATCTATCATCTATCTATCATCTATCTATCTATCTATCTATCTATCTATCTATCTATCTATCTATCTATCCATCCATCTTTCTACCTACCTACCTACCTACCTACCTTTATCATTATCTATCTAGCTATCTTCCTCCTCCTCTCTCTTTCCCCCCAATCCTTTATTAAATCTATCTAATCCTCTAGTAGATTTATATAATTTGATTTAAGAGCTCAAGGCAACATATAATGTATTCTCTTCTTTTGTGTTTCCCTACTAACTATAACACGTGAGGTAGGTTGGGCTGAGACAGTTATTGACAAAAACGATCTAGTGATGACCTGCAGACTGGTTTCTTTTGTTGTTGTTGTTGTTGTTTTTTGATTCTCAGTCCAAGTCCTCCACCTAACTCCTCTCTCGAACTGAGAGAGCAATTGGCCCGAAAGATCTTCTATGGCTGAAGGGGAACCCCTGAATCTCACCACTAGACTATCCTGACTCTTGGACTGAGAGGGAGGGACAGACCCAAAACCTCCCGAAGGGAACTTCCATGGCCAAAGTGAGACCAGAACTGGGTCTGCCCCACTTTTAGACAGCATCTATATCAGACCACACTGACTATTGAGTTGTAAGAAAAGGGAATCAGTGTTATCCAGGGAGTTTATGTAGTTGAGGGAAGGGTAGGATTAGGGTCTCTAGTATACCTCAATTCTATATACATTGATTTTCTTTTTAAATGCCTGGATAGGGAGCTTTTGCATAAGTAGCTTAAATACTGAAATTAAACTAAGAAGGGGTTTATCAGCATTAGTCATGTCTTGCCAAAGTCTTAGTTTCATAGTTAAATAATCAAATAACATGACAATAACCAGAACAGATGACCATTTATTGATCAGAGGAAGGCCCCAGATATCACATTCTTTTGAAGCAGCAGAGGGTGTCCTAGCTGCAATTTTCCAGGTCCAAGGATGGTAGATTGATCTATTTCTCTTTTTATGAGTAGTCCTTAAAGGTATGACCATAATAGAGCCAGCCCATCACATTTGTCATTTTGTGACAGTCATAAAACGGGTCAGTCATGCGATCAATTTGATTCTATGACCTGCTTTGCAGGAGGTCGTTAAACAAATCATTGTGGTTGTTAAAAGAGTCATTAAGTGAACCGATGGTTCACTATGGGCATGGTTTTGCCAAAACCCAGAGGTCAATGCCAGGTTTTGGCAAAACTGTCATAAAATACTGTCATGTGACCGTGGGAAACTGCAAATGGCTATAAATGGCGCGTGGTTGACCAGTGCTTGAAAGTCACGTGACCACAGAGAGGGCAACCATTGGAATTTCAAATCTGGGTTGTGCGCACACACGCACACACACATCGTAAATCAATTGGAACACTAAACAACCTACACAACAGAATCATTCCTTTTTAATTTGTCTTGTGGGAAGAAATATCCTTCTGGGTTCAGTTCCAAGTGGGGAAGAAAGACACTGGAAACATGGTGACAGCTTGGAAAGATGGTTTATTGATGAACAGGATGGGTTCCTGGGCAGAAAAGGGAAGAGATGCTGAGAGTCCCTGGGTTTTATGCCCTCTGTTGGGGTTTGAATTGGAGCTTGTATTCTGATTGGTTGTCAGACTCCCATGGGGCCATGCAGGGGCAACTCTGTAGGCTGTCCTGAGTCCCAGGCTTGGTTGAGCCTTGCTGAATGATGATGATGTAACGAAAGGGTGTTGGGCAATTCCTATTATGGGTCTGCCTAAAGGAGGTAGAACTTTGTTATGTAAAATAGACTGGCTCAGGCCTTA